TTTGAGTTATGGTATTGGAGGAGAATATTGAAAGTGCCATGGGCTGCCAAAAGAACCAATAGATCCATTCTGGAAGAATTGCAGCCAGAGTGCTCCATGGAGACCAAGATAGCCAAACTTCGTATCTCATACTTCAGACATATTGTCAGGAGGGACCAGTCACTGGAGAAGGATATTATGTTTGGCAAGGTGGAGGGTCAGGAAAAAAAGAGGAAGACCCCCAATGATATGGATTGGCCAAGTGGCAGCATCTATGGACTCAAGCGCGGCAACAGTAGCGAGGTTGGCCCAGGATCAGGCAGTGTTTCATTCTGCTGTGCATAAGGTCACTATGGGTCAGTACCAACTCAATGGCACCTAACAACAACAACAAGTCTCCCAATATAGAGGCATGGTGTGGCACTGTGAGATACTGGAATAAAAGGTCAGTTTGAACCATAAGCTTGGCGGTTCAAACTACCAGTCGCTCCTTGGGAATTCTACCCAGGGTCGCTCTGAGTTGGAACCGACTCGATGGCACTCAACACCAACACTACCAGTCTCCTAACAAGTTCTGGTGTGGCACTATAGGATAATAACTTAACTGAAGGTTGGTTTGCACTGCAAGATTGGCAGTTCAAACCTACCAGCCACTCCTTGGGAAACCTATATAGGGCCACTATGAGTTGAAAGTGACTCAGCAGCACTTAACAACAACGAGTCTCCCAATAAGGAGCCCTGGTGGCACAAGGGTCTGGTGCTTGACTGCTAACTGAAAAGTTGGCAGTTTCAACCCACCCACCACCTCCAGGAGAGAAAAGAACTGGCCAACGGCTCCTGTAAAGATTGTTGGTATGAAGTGCTTCTGACTCATAGCGACCATGTATATGGTTTCTATGGCTTTAAATCTTCACAGGAGCAGAAATCCTCATCTTTTTCCCATAGAGTAGAGTGGCTGGCAGGCTCAAACCACAGACTTGTAGTTCCCAGTCTAGTATTTATCATATGAAACAAACAAACAAAAAAAAGCCCTATGGGAAAGTTCTACTCTGTCACAGGGCTCACTAAAAGTCAGAATCCACTCTCACTCAACAGCCCCCAACAACACTCTTCCAGTGACTATATTGAGATGTTGGGGTCCCCGCTTAAGAAATGAATGCAGTGGAAAGACTTAAACATGGGCTACTTTGAGGAGAATCATGTAAGACAGAACCTCACTTTTCTCTTCAAGGGTTTTCTCCCCAAGGATCAGGCCATGGATGTGGTCAGATTCTTGACATACACATTATAATTTGGAGTTCCACCTCTCAGTTAAATGCCCAGGTTATATTTTTACAGATAAAAATAAGTAGTGAATGTGAACACATGTACATATGTGTGTATTCTCTTTTGTAAGAGCCCAGACTCTACTGGTGCTTATGTGCTTTATCATGTGGAAACAAGTGACTTTGTTCTTTAGTAAAGTATGATGATCTTATTTCCCAACTGGTAATGCCTCGCAGTGCCTCATTAACTAAAACATTACCAACTGCATCAGCATATGGTAGAAATGAAACAAAAGAAACTAACCCAGCATATTATGAGTGTGTTCACGGGCTAGGAACTTTACCTGATGGTGTACTGATATAGTGGACTGCTAACCACAAAGTCAGTGGTTCAAACCCACCAGCTGCTCCTCTGAAACCCTATACAGGGTTGCTATAAATCAGAGTAGACTCAACACTTATCAACAAACATCAACAACAAGTTGATGGTAATAAGTCTTATGAACTCCATTTTCTAGGGGAAGAAATTGAGACCCAGAGAGGTTAAGAGATTTATTTGAGGTCACACAATTAGAAAATAAGTTTGTTGTTGTTGTTGTTGTGAAGTGTCGTCGAGTCAGTTCTGACTAATAGCGACCCTATATAGGGTTTCCGAGAAGCAGCTGGTGAACTTGAACTGCCGACTTTACAGTTCAAATGGCTTTGCAGTCTGGCGTATTAACCACACTTAAGGAACCGACTCGACGGCACTTAACAACAACAACAACAAATTCAAGCATAAGATGGACTGTAATTCTTTTAGTATTTCTACTACAGAATGTAGCACAGTGGGCACTGAGCAAATAGAAGATTGAGTAAAAGGGTAAATTAAGAGCTATTTTTCTTGGATACCTACTATGTACCAGGGAAGGGAAGATAGAGAACCACAACTTTAGGATACAGAGTTAGAGCTGAGGCCTATGGAAGGGTGTGCTAAAGCACTGGACTGCAAGATCGGATTAAACTGCAACATCAGTTTGAACCGCAAGGTTGGTGGTTCAAATTCACCAGCCTCTCCTTGGAAACTCTTGGAAACGGCACTTTACAACAGGTTGAGCCTCTGTGTGGATTCCTGAGGCTACTGCTGCTTTAGTTTCTTCTCCTTCTCCTTCCTGGCTCTGGAGATCCTTGAAATGCCTCCTACTTTGTTCTCTGGCCCCAGGTCTCCATGCTCCCTTTGTATACTGAGCCTGGTCCATACCAGCTCTGGAAATGACATTTACAGAGGAGCTTACATTGCCTTGTCAAAGCAATGATATTTTCAGGTTTTCAAAATTGAGCACGCAGATCTGCTTTCTGGTTATAGAGAAGATGCATTCTTTATGCTTTTCCAGAAACCTCTAGGAGTCCATTATGGGGAGCCCATCCCTTGAGGACCTTCTACCACCCTTCTTTCTAAATTGTTCTGTACTCACCTTGCAAAAGCTGAGAACATGACAGTATCTTCATGACCTCTGTTCCCATTCACTAGCTGCTACAGGAGAAATGGCTTACCTAATCCATAAGTTTGGAAGACTTCTTTCTAAGGGAGCAGTGCAGATGGAAATGCAAGTTTCCTGTGAGTCTTTCCCTGGTGCTGTTGTAGGACTGGGCACCCCTATGTGCTTTCCCCAACTCTACATCATACTGCTCTGCCTATGCACACCACCTAGTGGCCTGCCATCTTGGAAATGTTCTAGTCTGTTGGGTAAAGGACAGTCAGCCCAGTTGGCCTTCATAGAAAATACATTTCAGGCCTGGGACTGTGTGTCTCTGCACCTTCAGCATACATCAGAATCACATGGAGGGATTGTCAACACCCAGAGGGCCAACTTCCACCCACTGTGTTCAATATCAATATGTGGGGTAGGACCTGGCATTTTTCATTTCAGCAAGTACCCACAAGGTGCTGAAACATCTGGTCTGGGAACCATACTTTGAGAACCACTGTTCTACACCTTCTTCCATCCCTTTTTCCTTAAGATTGCTTTGCCAAGTGGCCTGGAATCTATATGCAGACTGATAGGTATCTACAATGATCCAAGATATGAGATCCTTCTCCTTCACAAATAGGGTTGGAAATAGACTAACTAAATGGACATTTTTTTCATATTGACTCTTAAAGTTAGAATATTGGGAAAGCAGCTGGGTAGTTCTCTTAGTGGGCAGAACATGATAATTGTACATAAAGTTCATATCAATGATACTGCCACGTACATAAACTACATGACAGTGTAGGCTTAACCATAACTGTTTTGTTGGTAGTACTAACATGCAATAACTCAGCTTTTTTGAAAAAATATTTGATCCTTGGTGAATTATTTAATTTCATCCTAGAAGCCTCATAAACATGAGATAGTCAACCATATAAGATTATTCTAGTAAGCAAAGCCTGACACATTGGATTTGAATCCCATCCAAGAATCCAACTTGTTAGCTCAAACTTATTTTGTAGACATTACGGCCGATGAATCCATCAGAACCCTGAGCAAATCCGTCTATTTCACAGAGTATGGACAGAGTTCTAGAACTCTATGTAGTGAGAAGGAAGACTGAATCCCATTTTAATAGGAGATAGACAAAATTGTATTTCAATTACAATTTTGGGCTATCGAAGCTAATCGTAATTTTTAAAAATCTGAATTTTTTATTTTGGTTTCTAGACACTTGTGTCAGAAGGCAAAACTCAGGTAATATTTTGTCAATTCCAGAATGACCACCTATATTGACTTTTAAGCAAAACTTCTTCCTTTTGATATATTGCTTGACATTGAATTATCTGGCTGTTTCTGAGTTTTCTCCTTCTGTGGGGTAGGCATTGGGCTGCTAACCACAAGGTTATCAGTTCAAACCCACCAGCCACTTCATGGAAGAAAGATGAAACTGCCTGCTCTTGTAAAGATTTGCAGTCTCAGAAACCCTATATATAGGGTTGCTATGAATTGAAGTCAACTTTATGGCAGTAATTTTTTTGTTTGTTTGTTTGTTTTGTTGGTTGGTTGGTTTCTCATCCTCGTAATTTCCTTTATTGATCTCCCGCCTTCAATTCTCTTTTTGCCACTATTGCTTGAAATGATTAGTGTTATCTGCAAAGATGCCAAAGAACTGATAGTCCTTATAACAAAAGCGATTGGAAAAGTTCTTCCCTTATCACTGAAATTGTCACCACGGGGTTTCCCCTAATCCTGTCCCTGTTCTGTGCCAGTGTTCCAGGTCCTGTGGAGGTGGAGTTCAGGAGAGAAGGGTGTCCTGCCCGGGAGGTTTCTGTGACTGGACAGCAAGACCCCCACCCTCTGCACCTTGCAACGAGCACTCTTGCTGTCACTGGGCTACTGGGAGCTGGAACCTGGTAAGACTTTGCTCTAGTCCTTCTCACTATACTTTGACTTTAAAAAAGCAAATCTCATTTGCTTTCTTTTGATTATAAAATGATACTCATTGTAAAATAGTTATAAAATATAGCAAAGCTGCCTTAAGTTCATCTTTAAACCTTAAATTAAAAATATCCCCTGAAATCTCCTTAAGACCAAACAGTAGTTTAGCTTAGCTAGTAGAGTGTCCGCCTTGAGCGTCGTACTCTCTGGTGGTGCAGTGAGGAAATGTTGGGCTGCTGACCACTTTGCTGTTCAAATCCACCAGCTGTTCTGTGGGAGGGCAAGATGAGGCCATCTCCTCCCATAAAGATTTACAGTCTTGGAAACCCCACTGACCACTTCCACCCTGTCTAATAGGGTTGCTATGAACGGGAATGGACTTGAAGGCAGTGAGTTTGGTTTTGGATATTTTGGAGTCAAGAATATCTGCCTTGAGCAATTTGCTCCTTCAAGGTGTATCTGTATGGGATCAATATGGTAGTGTTTGTTAGGTGCTGATGAGTGGTTTCTAACTCGTAGCAACTCTATGTACACACTGATCAGTCCCTGTGCCATCCTGACAATTTTACTTGAGTCCATTGCTGTTGCCACTGGGCCAATCCATCTCATTGGATGTCTCTCTCTTTTTCTCTGACCCTCCACTTTATTGAGCATAATGTTCTTCTCCAGAGACTGGTCCCTTCCTGATAATATGTCTGGAGTATAAGAGATGAATGCTCACCCTCCTGGCTTCTAAGGAGCATTCTGGCTGTAATTGTTCCAACACAAATTTGTTTGTTCTGGTAATATTCTTTTCCAACACCATAACTCAAATGCATCAATTCTTCTACTGTCCTCCTTTTTCATATGTAAATAACAACAGCAACTAAAAAAATTAGATAGAGCCTTCGCATGGAGTGAGTTTATGTGAATGGAGGAGTAACTCAGGAAATGTGATTGAGAATAATTGAACAACAGGAAGAATTAAATCAATGTCAAGGAATTGTACAGGGAGAAAATTGAATTGGTTGGATTTTTTGCTATACAGATTTTCAACAGGCAGCAAAATTAAACATTTCTTAAAAAGAAAAAATGCAGAAAAACAAGAGAGGAAAAAGTAAGCCTAAGCATTTATAACAGGGTATAAGTAGTCTGCTCTTTCACAATCTGCCATCTTCACTTTCATGTTGACTTTTGTGAGTTAGATCCCTAGGTGTGTGCCCTCACCTTCCATAGCAGCCTTGTCTCTTCAGGGGACCCCGCAGCTACTCAGCGCACACGTCCTCTTGCTTCCTGACCCTCACAGGGCATGTGTAGCTGGCACAGGGTGAGAGTCAAAGTACATATACAGAGAAGTCTCAGTTTCCTGACAATAGTTTATGCAGTTCCAGTCCTGGTGTGGTGCTGTAGAATGAGCCCTGGAATGCTAGTTGCAAAGTCAGCAGGTCAAGCCCACCAGAGGCCTATCCAGAGTCACTATGAGTTGGATTCCTGGTGTGCCGCTGCGAGTTAATGTGCTGGACTGCAAGGTCAATTTGAACTGCAGCATCTATGGTTCAAACTCACCACTTGCTCCTCAGAAACCCTATACAGAGTTGCTATGAGTTGGAACTGACTGGACAGCACTTAACAACAACATCAACATCAGTGGAACTTACCAATAACAGTAACCCATGCTCAAGGCCACATGACAACTCACAACTCTTCCAGTGTCAGTATAGAAGAGTTCCACACAGCAGCAGAGGTGTCCCAGTAGACAAGAGTCATCGTCACAGTCTACGTTTCCCTTCACTCTGTAGTTTCCAAGGTCATTTCCACCAGAGGCTGAACTAGACCTTTGTTCACTTTAAGTCTTTATTCACAATAAGATTCCATCAAGTAACAACACAGAAGTCACCACAATACAACAAACTGACTGTAAAGTGGTAGCTTCTATACATTTTAAAACTGCTACCAAATGATTTTCTCTAATAAGTCTGGATAAGAGATGAGGTAAAATGCTGGTGGATGATGATTCACTTGTGAGTGATTGTTAACAGGACTGTGATTGTAAACAGCTGGAAATCTAACGAGGAATTTGGTCAATGTTAACATCCTTGTGGTTAAAGTGAGTCACCTCACAAGCAGAAGGGGGAAATCTGAGTACCATCAAACAAGAGCCAGGACTGAAGTGTGTCTTTTGGAACTAGTGATCCCTGCTCATTGAACCTCCCATATCCTGGGACATAAAGCTGTGACACAAGGGCTGTTGCAGAAGAGCAGCATCAGCAGAACCAAGAACCAGAACACAAAACAGAGAAACTTCCCAGCCTACAGAGCAGTAAACCTGAGTGACTTTGCATGGGAGCTTTGTTTACAGAGTAAGGTGCCTCCAGGAGCTTAATTGGTAGGGTTATTATATTTGTTGTTCCATGGAGCTAGAACTGAGTGCCTTCAAACTGAAGCTCATGGTGAAGTGGCATGTCATGTGGATATTTAGCAGCAGCCCTAAAAAACTTTTATTACACTGACAAGGCAGAGACATGCCTGCCTGTGGGTAAGGCTGATGAGCAGTTGCCCTAACAGCACAATTGTACCCTGAGCATTACTGGCCTTGAATTGCAGCCTATTCCCTCCCCAAATAAACTCTGTAACTGTGAGAAAAAAAAAAAAAAGAAAAAGATGCCATCAAGTAGATTGATGATAACTTACCAACCATTGTCTGGCAATGGGCACACAATAACTAGTTGTCTAATTAATATTTTTCCTAAAGTGGCAGGCGTTGAGTATCCATGGACAGGGCTACAATTCTGTAATAATAAAGGGAGAAAAGATGAGTGTACCATTCCCATGGTAATGGTGCCTGTTGGTCCATGTTTATTGCACATGCTATGACTCAAACTTTCAGGCAGCCATAGACTGCTTGGGAGGAGGCTCATATGCTCACTGGTATCAACTGTCCCATGGGTGTTGCGTTCAACTCTGATCAGATACATGATATGCTTACTCACTGTTAACTAAGTGAAAGCCATTGTTATTATTTATAGAAAGCAAACAGTAAACAACCAAACACATTCCCAAAATGGAACATTAGTTGTCAGGTGCCATCAAGTCAGAACCGATTCATAGCGACCCCATGCACAGCAGAACAAAACAATGTCCGATCCTGGGCCAACCTCACTACTGCTGCCACACTTGAGTCTATCAATGATACCACCTGGCCGATCCATCTCATTGGGGATCTTCCTCTTTTTCTCTGACCCTCCATCTTACCCAGCATGACATCCTTCTCCAGCGACAGTTCCCTCCTGACAATTTGTCCAAAGTATGAGAGATGAAGCTTAGCCATCCTGGCCTCCAATGAGCACTCTGGCTGCACTTCTTCCAAGACAGATCTATAGGTTCTTTTGGCAGTCCATGGCACTTTTAGTATTCTCCTCCAACACATTACTCTTCCCCAAATTATCCATTTTCATGTCACCAGGTAGGTGTGACACAGTTCAGGGAGGATGCTGTGTTCACACCAATGCTGCCTCTAGTTGACAGTATGCTGCTCTGAGGGTCTGCATGGCTCCAGAGGCATCTGCTCTGCCACTGAGACTTGGCAGGAAGATCCCTGCAATGGCTTTCCTGAGCCTCTGCTGCTTGGTCCTTCTAGACCTCTGCCGCTTGTTCCCACCATGCTACGCAGGCCCATATGATTCTGTCTCTTACTACCATGCAACCCGGCTTCTCACTGCCCAAGGTTCCCATGGCTCCTGTCGCACTGCCTGTGGAGGCAGGGGGAGGCATGGTGCACAGGACATGGTCAAGCTTCTGCGCTGCACAGCTCTTTTGACTCTGCAAGCTCTGCAAGCAAGTCTCCTACCCCAAGGCACTCTGCTCTCTCGCTATGGGCTGAGCAGCCTGGCATTTCTCTGTCTACAGCATTAGAGCTCTTTCTTCTGGGTCTAGGAGGTTCTCAGCACAGGGAACCCAGGTCCAAACAGCTCGCTGTGTTCCAGACTCTTGTTCATAGTAGTGAGATTTCACTGAGCCTCTGTTGGATTGGCCCTTAAAGAAGCAAATTCCTTTTCGATTCCAAGACATGGTACTCCCAACAGGACCACAAAGTGACCAATATTCCCAGTGGACCAGAAGGCAGTCAATCCTATTGGGTGGATTGTCAAGCCACTGTTTGCATAATAATCCGCCAGTCCATTAAAAGACTGTCATTTTGTGACAGATACGAGACCATAGCTAGAAAGGCCATCTAAAGGCAATTCATTGCACCACAGCCCAGTGTAGGGGAGATCTGTTTCTACATCAGTAAACTCAGAAAACAAATCTTCTTTTACATGGTTGTCACAAAGATTGAACTCAAGGTATTTATTATGCATTTCAAAACAATGCCTGTCATATTTTCAGAGTAAGTGCAAGAAAACCATTCAAGGAAAGTGTTTGTATCAAATGCTTTTTCTCCTTCATGTCTATCCATTTGGCCTATGTTGGCTAAGTGGTAATAGTAATGGAGTCCAGTTCTCATGGATATCTTTTACAGCTTCTCACAGAGCTTTTGGACCCTGGGAATCAACGTTTCTGAACAAGTCAGTTTAAACTGAAAAGTGTACTTGCAGTCTATTAGAAAAAGCATCTAAGACTGAGTAAGGCTAGGGTTGAGCTTAGGATATGGACAGTTCAGTTAGACAGTATCCTTAGCTGGGAGTCAATCAGGCTTAGCTGCAGACCTGTGTGGAGTGTTCAGTTCTGTACAAAATCCCCATGTTTAATTGAATCTAATGGAGAGGCTATGAGCCCTAAGAGAGATATTGTTGTTGTTTGTTAATGTCAGATTAACCCCTGACTTCTGACAACCTCAAGAACAATAGAACAGAATGCTGCCCAGTCCTTCCTCATGATGTGTTATGAATCAGACCACTATAATCCATAGAGTTTCCATTTCCTAGTCAATCTTAGTCTGCAAGCTCTCACTGAGGTGTACTGGAAATCACCTGGGGTGTCCCACGTGGAAAGTGAG